CACATTTTGTGAGTGCTGAGATAAGCAGGAAGGCCTCACAGAATTGAGAGCATGGAAGTAAACTGGGGTGTGCACAGTGATGTGAAGATTAGCTTTGAGGTGGCTGTAGGAACACTTCTCTACCACTTCTCTTACTTTGTGTATGTTGTCTTGGAGACATTCTGTTAGCTGCCGAGAGTCTAGAAACCTGCTGCCCCTCAGAAAACCTCAACTGATCTCCTCGTGTTTAGATGGTATTTCTGGAAGCTGTGGAGATGATAAAAAGTAACTGGATAGTCCTTTGATGAAGAGAGAGATTCATGCATGGACTTGGCTTTGTCTGAGTTCTGTGATAACTCCATAGAGCCTCCAAGGCAGGTTCCTGAAGTAACTCTTAGAATTATAAAAATGGAATATTATTTTTCGCTTTACAGTTGTATTTTCCTTCTCTTTTTCCATGTGGTTAGTAGCCTTGCTATTCTGTCAAAAGGAAAGCATTTATTTATTGGGCAGGCTGGCACTGATGTTATTTGCCGATCCTATTGTATTTGGATACAACTGTCAGACTGTCAGTTTTGCCGAAGGAATCATTTCCCTTACATGATAAAAACTTGTACAATCATGAGCTTTTTAAATATACTTAAATTTCTGTGGCATGATCTGTTCAATTTTAGCAAAGATGTTCTAAAGTGCAGGAAAGGTTAGCATCTTGGATGCATGATGAAATGGACTTTCTTTGTCAAACATAGTTGGTTTCATTTAGGAATCAATGTGGAAAGACATGTCCCTAAAGAAAGTTTCCACGTTTTCACACTGCTCATAAATATTTGAACTTGATTTTACTTAGCACCCAAATGAACAACCCATGAAAGGCCTCGATTTTAAACCTTTAATTGCCACTGAGTTTTAAACCCTTCCTAAAAGCAGACAGACACAGCATAATTATGAATCACAAGGAATCTCTGTAAAAATGTGTTCACATTGTCACTGAGCTGGTTAAGGTCAGTGAAGCAGCACTAACTTTCTGTGACATTTTCCCAGCCCCACTATTACCTGTCAGATTGGAAAAAAAAATCAAGGCATCAGACAAGCTTATGCATCGATGTGCTCACTCTTGTCATTAATTGAAGTAAATGGATAAGCTTGTCCATCAGCAGCCACAAACACATCTGTTCATTGCTGTTGTTTTGCTTTTAGTCTCCTTAACCTGTGTTTCTTAGCAGTCTCTGGGATTTGAAAAATGCTTCGTTCTCTATTCAAGAACCATGATGACTCCTGTGTTTGTTCTACACTTAAAAAAATGCTGACAAAATGAAATATGGAATACTGTGTTCACTTATTCCATGTTTGGCTCACAATGGATTGAGTTATATAAAGTAGGACATGGACAAATTACAAAAACCAGACCAAGCAGAGGTCTCTAATAGTCTTATATAACTGAAAACACTCTGCATTTGCTTTTGTCCGTCATCCTCTCCGCCTCTTACAGAAAGAAAAGGAGGGTTTCTTGCTCCCTCTTCCTGCCTCTCTCCTTCCCTTTCTGATTTTTAAGTATAGAGAAAAGGTTTTCCATATTATAAACCTGAAAAGGTGCCTTTTAATGAGAAAGTAGCTCAGAATGAAAACAGGAAATCCCTGCTTTCACTTGTGTGACTGTATTAACTCCCGAAGTACACCACAGGCTGTGACAGATCACAGTCATTCTACATCTTTTGCCTGAGAATGGTGTTTATTGCAGTATTTTTTTGCATGAAAATAAAGAATTCATCCCCAATGTTATGCTACACACTAGAATTTTCTTCTAAGTTTGTAAGGGAAAGAGTAACAGCAGTGTAAGAAAAATATATGAAACAAAAAAATCAGCAAATTAATTATATTTATCTGAGAATTCTGGTACATGAAGAATATGGTGTTTGTTAGAGCAGGGAAATGAGATAAAGCAAACATCAGTGCTTTCTGTTTGCCATGGAAGTCACATTAATGAAGAAAAATGTTTTCTTCTGCCTATATTTAGAATTTCCATTGAAGGGTAGGAGGGGTAATTCTGAAGTGTCTCCATGTTTGCAAAATATTTTTCCTAAACATTATGAAGCCATAGAAAGTGAAAAGGCAATTAAGATTCACTAATAGAATGTGTCTTGCTTTGCCGAGGAAAATAAGACAACTAAAAGAAGATGCTCACGAGAAAGGATGAAGTGGATGGAAATGGAGATCTGTTGATGAATTGCATTATTGAAGCTATCTTCTAATTTAGCTAAATTTAAAGTCCTATTGACACTTGAACATGCATGAAGACAGTACTGATGGAGAGGGCAGAGACAGCAGCTTCAACCTTGTCTGTCTTCATCTGTTTTCCCCTTTCTGCACTCTGTATTGGCATATTTTCCCCTTCCAGAAGGGTCTTCTGAGCTTCCCAAGGCTGTGCCTGGAACTCCAGATTGTGGCCTTTGTAAATAACGTACATAAAGAAGGGCTGTTAAACTCTTGTTGAGTTATTTTTGTTTTGCACTTTGCACCTTCAGTGAATACGGGAACTACTCCCACACCATTTCCTGACGAACCAAATCTTGCTGCGAAGGCTGAAAACGTTAGTCAGTTGCACCCTATTTTTAGGACTTGTAATGAAGAGAAAATGTAGTGTTATAACACCCATCCAAATGCTGGCGCCCCAGTAGACAACTGCAGAGTTTTAAGAGCTAATGTAGACAATTTATACAGAAAGGACTAAATTATGACCAATTCTTCAAATAAACAGACAACAGATCACTGTGAGTTGTGACGGAGTCTAGTTGTGGTTTGGAAACGCCAAACTTGGTCCTATTGAAGATCACAGATGGCCAAGAATAGCGGCAGCAGTTACCCAGGAACTGGACTCAGAAGGATGCTAACTTTAGTGTTAAAAAGGAGAGTGGAAATAAGGCCAAGACTCTCTGCTATAGCTTCAAAAACTACATTTCTAAGCGCCTGTGACTTTCCGAATGGTAATGGCTAGGTTTCCTTGAGTGCTCACTGTGTCCCCAGCACTTGTGTATATTAACTCAGTCTTCAGTGAAACCTGAAAAACGTGGAAGCAGTCTTGTTCCTATTTTAAACTAATGAAGCCCCAGCACGCAGTGATCGACATGGCTAAGGGATTACAGCTCCTGAAGAACAAAAATGGAGGTAACATGATTCCACAGCCTGGGTGTCTTCTGATATATCTATGTGTCTTCCTATAGTGGTAACATGACCCCACAGTCTGGGTGTCTTCTAATATACCTCTACATCCACCTTCTGGTCTTCATGCTCCTTTCTATCCATAGAAAAGTGGGTGCAGAAGGATAGTAGGCTGTGGGGACATGTCCCAGCTACAGAAGGCCAAAGGTCACTGAAATTGCTCAAATGTTGGCATAAAGGGCTTGGAGTACAGGTGTGCTTCCAATAGTATTTATCTTTGACTCCAAGCCTAGCAATTTCCAATTGGTGGCTGTATAAAATTGGCCCCCAGACATTCTCAAAATCATTCACCTGAATGGATTTGGCCCTTTCTTCGGTTTTGTTCTCGTGTATTTGCTGGAAATTTAAGCTCCATGTATTTAGACATTCACTCAGGTTGGTTATGTCTGCTGTTCCTTCCAACTAAACTTCCTAATTCTTAAAATTGCATTAGAATTATTCCAGAATCTGGGAAAAATAGAGGAGAATCTGAATTGGGAACATACTTTGTATGGCTACATTTGAATATTTGAAGGCAGTTTGTCACAGCTTCTTCTTTGTCACTGCTAGCTGTCTAAATAGCTTTCAGTGGTAACCTGTACAACCCTCCCACCCCCCACCTGAATCAGTTGGCTTCATGATTCAAGTGTAGTGGCTGAATCTCTGGGTTGTCATGTTTTTGCTACAATGCTAGTACATAAGCATGCAGTGACTACACAGCTAAGCATACACAGAAGAAAATAGCTGATTCATGTTTTGGATGTCACAATGCTGGGTGGAATCACAAATGGGTTTCAATCATAATTTGTTAGTGTTTATCTTGTAGATAAATGCTTTGGTAACTAAAGTGTTATTTGGTATTTTTATTCATTTCTTTCCAGAGCTTTCTCACTAAACTGCATGAACTCAAACCTTAGAAAAAAAGATATGGCCTGCTCAGAATATGGAAACATTAATCCAGGAAATCAGAGAATTCTGTCATGCTGAGTATAAACACTGAGTGAAAACTGACATTGCCGTGCCTGGAAGGTTTTATTCTTTTTGGACATTGGAGAAAATGAATAAATAAGCTGAGAGATACTTATTCCATTAAGGTGCTCATTATCAGAAGTTTCTTCTGATGTAAAGCAGTGGTTATGAGGCTATGGCTCTAGGGCCAGAACATTCAACAAAGCTGGGGAAATTGGTCAACATGTAAGTTCTTGAGCCATAATGCACAGAAATAGAAACTCTGTTGATCCCAGAAATCTGAGTGTTCACAATGCCCCTAAGGGATTAGGATGGATGTTATCCCATAAGAAATGGTGACCTAATGCCTCTGAGTTCCTGGTGGAAAGGTGGGGATCACACTGGTGAGTGCTGCCCTCCAAAGTGATTGTGGGCACAGCATGTTGAGCTGGTTCTGGAGTCCTGTGCACATTGCCAAATATGT